AAACAGCTCGTTTTGACAATTTCTGGTCCAATTATTCTTCAAACTCTAATGCTAATTGTCCTACATCAGTCCTTCCCACCTGTAAAAAACTCGACCCCGATTTATAATCTGGATAAAGTGGAACATCATCACAAAAGTCATAGAGATCAGCTACATTGAAAGTGCAAGATATGATCATATCAGCAAGCAAGTCGATCACATAGGCGTTGTCATTAATCTTCTTGATTACCTTGTACGGTCCATATTTTCTTGGCTTCAATTTGTTATAAGAACCAATGGGGAACCTCTCTTTACACAGAAACACCATAACCTAATCACTTTCAACAAACAATTTCTTACATCTCTTGACATCCACGGCAGCCTTATACTTCGCATTCTTCTCCTCTAACCATAATTTCACTTCTGTCTGAACATCACGAACCTGCTCATCCATGTTTACAACAGCCATACTTGTTCCAGCAACCTTGGGAAGTCTTACCAAATTCAAAGCATGCTTAGGCGGCTGCAAATATACCAAGAGCAAAGGGAGATTTACCAGTAGCAGTGTGAATTGCATTATTATAAGCGAACTCAGCTTGGGCCAGTGCCATATCCCACTGTTTTGGCTTGTCTCCACAAATACTCCGAAATAGATTTCCCAGCGTACGGTTCAAGTTCTCAGTCTGGCCGTCAGTATGTGGGTGTACAGTGCTACTGAACTTGAGAGTAGTATCCACCCGTCGCCACAATGTACTCCAAAAATGGCTAAGGAATTTCGAATCCCTGTCAGAAGTGATAGACTGCGGGACTCCATGTAAACGAACAATCTCACGAAAGAATAATTGTGCCACATGAGATGCATCTGAAATCTTCCGGCACGGAATAAAATGTCCCATCTTGGAGAACCTGTCAACCACCACAAAAATAAAATCGACTCCACGCTGAGTTCGTGGAAGTCCCAAAACAAAGTCCATCGACAAATCTTCCTATATGCCATTCGGTACATGCAGAGGCATGTAGAGACTCGTATTCTGCGCTTGCCTCTTGGAAGTCTGACACACAAAACACTTG